GCGGGAGCCCTGCACGAATGGTGCTCAAACCCCGTCAGCGATGCACACCAGTTTACATAAAAATGGCCATTTCACTTGGAATTGACGAAAACTCTGGAAAAATTGACTAAAACTGTGGAAACTGTCTTATTTATAAGTAGGGCTCTTACTACTTTGAGCTTTAGATGTGGCTACCAAGGGATGTGCGTCTATTAAAGCCACGCAGGGCAAACTCAGGCATTTTATTAGCTTGGTTTCAAGCCAACGTAAGTCCGACCAGCACCATTTCCTTGTGGGGGAGACAACAAACTCCTTTTAGTCCCAGCTGTACGGACTTAAAAAGTTTTGTGGACACATAGCTTAATGCCCCGAAAAGAAGATCCGGTGATGTCCGGCCTGGAAATAATGTGAAATATTTGTCGTTATTGTCACCCAGGGACGCGGTTGGTCTTTTCTTCTGGCTCCAAGAGCGACACAAGATGCCGATCCCGTCTCCCCAACCTCCGGAGAAAGACCCTGGGATGGTATTTCAGACGGTCAACGGCAACGTGATTTTTGCATCCGTTTCTCTTCCTGTTTCAACTAAGGTGACCCAAAGCGTTTAAGCAACTCTGATTTACTGATTTCTTACCCCAAGTGAAACAAATGAGCCGCATGGCTCCGCCGGAAATGACGAGCCACGCTAATAACGAAAATTATTGCTCGAGAACCGAGTGACAGCAGAGCCCGGCAGACAGACGTGGAGAAAAGCAGGTCCAGATGGCTGGCAGCTCCGGCAAGCTGCTGCTTGGCTGGACACAGCAAGGTGCTTCCCTTTGGCCGTTCCTGGCCAAAATCCGGCGGAAAGATGCCAGGTCTCAGCGTGAATCCACAACATGCAGCACCACCGCTTATGGTAGCGGTTATTCACCTCCCTTGTAAAACACCTTTTGAATGCAGTTATCAGTTTTTCAGCCGCTAAGCCTCACTTTAGCTTTTCTTCCACGAGGTTATACAGCCCCGTTTAATGTAGCATTTTCTCCCTTGGAAGGTACTAGTGCCACGTAATCAGTTTTCCTCTTGCCCTCGCTCCGATAAGATAAGTAACTTTAAATTTTCCAGGCTCCGGCTGCCAGCTCTTCCCTCCTGCTCGCCGGTCGCTCCGCCAGCTCTTCCCCGCGGCCCCTTGGAGGTGCGGGATGGCATGCACCGAGCCCACATCGCTCTCCTGCTTTTTAAACCAGTGTTATATTGGGGGTAGAGCAGGAGAAAAGAGGCCCCTATTTTAATTTTTATTTGTAAGGTGGAAGCCTGTGAGGTTGATGAACTCCGAGAAGCGAGATTACACGGAGTGAAGAAAAGCCAGGAGCAAGCGAAGGAAAGGAACGGAGGAAAATACAAGCCAAGTATGAGGGCACCGCGCGAGGCGGGAAGGGGAAGTGTCTTTCGGCCTGGTGTCTCTGGGGAAGAGACCCCTCGCTCCCGGGAGCTGGGCAAAGCACCGGTGCAGATGGCAAACGAGCTGCTCATCTCCGCAGGAACCACGTAATTTACCTTCCACAGACTTTCAAATCAAGGGCAGCAACACCAAAGCAGATTAACCCTGCCTTTATTATTATTATTTTTTGCTGTTGTTGTTTTTGGCTGCTTTTATTTTGCGGTGCCACAGCCACCTCTCTGCCTCCCACGATTTGGCTTCCGCCCCCAGCAGCCAGTGGCACGCGCAGGTTGCAAGAAACACAGACCGAGCACAAACCGGGTGTTGGCAGCGCTCCACTCGGCAGCACCTTGTCACGGGCTCGCAGGTGGCAGCAGCCTCTTACTGTTAAAATGACATTCATACCAGAAAAACGGTCACCTATCCCACGTACTTTTTAGTTATCTACAGAATTTGCCCCTCTTCCATACTTGGATATTTTCTTTAAGAATAAAAATATAAGCACTGATAGGGACGTTTAATTTACGATGTTGCTGCATGATGGAAAAGGGTTTTCCTGGCCTTTAAGTTGGAGGCCACCATCCTGCAGCGTTCACCGATGTTTTGTGCCTTGCAGAAACCTGAGGGACGCCGAAAAGCGGGAGATACCGTCTTTACTTCACTCAGAGCAGGGATGGCAGCAGCAGCTGTGAAACATCCTTTTCCTAGGGGGTACAACTCAGAACGCTACAAATCCGAGAAATAAAGGGGGGGGGGGAACAAAACCAAAAACAAATCAACTCTCTTGATATAAGCAGCCAACTACTTTATTTTTTAATCAGCAAATTTAAAGCTCTTAAGGACTTTATTGTTAGTAGTAGTAACTGTAACACCTACTGTGCTCTAGCGCATTGAATTGGGGAGGGGGAACAAAAACAATTACTAAAGGACATTAGGACTAACGTCAAACCTTCTGCCACAGGTTTTAAAGTCGGGCTCTCAGAGGGCAGAACGAGCCCTAATGTAAAAGCAGATTATGAAACATCTGCCGCTGCCGGCTTTGGGCACCTTTCCGCAAAACA